TGGTTGACGACTACTCGCGTTACACCACAGTCCTCCCCTTGCGCAGCAAGGGTGAGGTCACTGAGGTGCTGATCGACTGGATCCGCGAGGCTCGTCTCCGGCTCAGGAAGAGCTTCGGCTCGGACTTTCCTGTTCTGCGTCTGCACTCGGACAGAGGCGGAGAGTTCTCCTCTGGCCTTCTGGGTGCCTACTGTCGTGCGCGAGGCATCCGCCAGTCCTTCACGCTTCCGGACTCACCACAGCAAAATGGGATTGCTGAGCGCCGCATTGGCATGGTCATGGATGTCGCTCGTACGTCCATGATGCATGCGGCTGCCCCCCATTTTCTGTGGCCGTTTGCGGTGAGGACGCGGCGCATCAGCTCAACCTTCACCCCCGGGTCTCTCGGCCTGCAATGTCCCCAGCCTTGCTGTGGACAGGGAAGGTTGGCGATGCGTCTGTGTTCCGTGTCTGGGGATCTCGGGCGTTTGTCCGCGACTTGTCTGCGGACAAGCTGTCCCCTCGTGCTGCTCCCTGTGTCTTCCTTGGCTTCCCCACTGACGCCCCAGGGTGGCAGTTTTACCACCCCTCCTCTCGTCGTGTTCTGTCCTCCCAGGACGTCACGTTCGACGAGTCAGTCCCCTTCTACCGTCTCTTCCCCTACCGCACTCCTTCCCTCCCCCCTCCCCCGGACTTCCTTGTACCGGTTCCCCCCCCGGTAGACCCCCTTCCCCCTCAGGTTCCTGCCCCCTCAGGTGTGTCCCAGGTAGACGCCGTTGACCCGGTCGAGGTTACAGGTGACTCTGGTGCTGCTGCGGGTGCTGAGCCTGGGGGTGCTGACTCTGGGGGTGCTGTGCGCGGGGGTGCTGAGCCTGGGGGTGCTGACTCTGGGGGTGCTGTGCGCGGGGGTGCTGAGCCTGGGGGTGCTGACTCTGGGGGTGCTGTGCGCGGGGGTGCTGAGCCTGGGGGTGCTGACTCTGGGGGTGCTGTGCGCGGGGGTGCTGAGCCTGGGGGTGCTACTGCTGGGGGTACTGGGCCTGCGGGTGCTACTGCGGAGAGTGCGGAGCCTGGGGGTGCTGCGTCTAGAGCTGCTGAGCCTGGGGTTTCTCCTGCTGCTGCGTCTCGCCGGGAGCCCCTTTCTCCACAGGAGCTGCGCGAGTGGTTCGCTCGCCGCTGGAGGCGTGCTGCTGAGTCTGGAGGTGCTGCTGGAGCTGGAGCTGGAGCTTCTTCGACCGTCGAGGGTGCGGGTGCTGCCGGTCCCGGAGCTACTGGACCTGCGGGTCCTCCTGGAGCTGGAGCTGCTGAGGGCGTTGGTGCTGAGCCTGCTGCTGTTGGTCCTGCCGCTGGAGGTGTGGGTGGCGCTGGTGCTGTCTCTGAGGGCGCTGGTGCTGTCCCTGCTGCGTCTGGAGCTGCTAAGCCTGGGGTTTCTCCTGCTGCTGCGTCTCGCCGGGAGCCCCTCTCTCCACAGGAGCTGCGCGAGTGGTACGCTCGCCGCTGGAGGCGTGCTGCTGAGTCTGGAGGTGCTGCTGGAGCTGGTGCTGGAGCTTCTTCGACCGTCGAGGGTGCGGGTGCTGCCGGTCCCGGAGCTGCTGGACCTGCGGGTCCTCCTGGAGCTGGAGGTACTGAGGGCGTTGGTGCTGAGCCTACTGCTGTTGGTCCTGCCGCTGGAGGTGTGGGTGGCGCTGGTGCTGTCGCTGAGGGTGCTGGTGCTGTCCCTGCTGAGTCTGGAGCTGCCGCGCGGCCTCGGCCGTACTTCGTTCCGCTCCTACAGCAGGTTCTTGGTCTTTCTCCTTGGGTAGAGTGTCCACAGCCTGTCCAGTCGCAGTCACTGTTGGAGCCTTCCTCTCCTCTGCCTGCTCCCTCTCCTTACACTGGTCCTACTGGAGGTCTTGCTGAGCGTCGTGAGCCTGCGTCTCGTCCCGCGTCGCCTGTTCGTGCTGCTCGCGCTAGTGGTCGCGGTTCGCGTCAGCGTCCTCCTCCTGTCCCTGGCACGCACCGGATGTCTCTGCGTCCGTCCACTGCTCCTCTGCGTGCCCCTTTGCCTTCGCCTCCTGAGTCCTCTCTTCCTGCGCTTGCCGACCCTGAGTCGGACTCTCTTCGCGCTGCCAGTCCTACTGTCACGCGTCTGCTTGCTACTGTCGTCACTGACCCCTCTTTTGAGTCCACTGCTGCGTCTGCTCTAGTCGCTGAGCTCGTTGACTTTGCTGCTCGCTGTCGTCTCGACTACGCTGCTGGTCTTGTTGCTGAGTCTGCGTCTGTCTGTCCTCCGTCCGTCGAGGGTGAGTGTGCTCTTGACACGGACGTCCTAGAGGACAGACAGGAGGAGTTACAGTGTCTAGCGGCTGCTTCACCTCATCTCGCGTCTGTAATGCTTGCCCCTGAGGGAGACCCGGATGCACTAGACATCCCGACTCCGCGTTCTTACGCGGAGGCCGTAGAGGGTCCCTACTCCTCTCAGTGGCAGGCAGCTATGGATGCAGAGATGGCTTCCTGGAAGTCCACAGGCACCTACGTTGACGCAGTTCCCCCTCCTGGGGCGAACATCGTCAGTGGCATGTGGATCTTCCGGGTGAAGCGGCCGCCGGGCTCTCCACCTGTCTTCAAGGCGCGGTACGTTGCTCGTGGCTTCAGTCAGCGGCAGGGAGTTGACTACTTTCAGACCTTCTCTCCCACCCCGAAGATGACCACTCTTCGGGTGCTGCTGCACATAGCCGCTCAGCGCGACTACGAGCTTCACTCTCTCGACTTCAGCACTGCGTTCCTGCAGGGTAGCCTGCACGAGGAGATCTGGCTGCGCCGTCCACCTGGCTTCACTGGGACTTTCCCTCCTGGCACCCAGTGGAGCCTCCGACGGCCAGTCTACGGTCTCCGCCAGGCACCGCGTGAGTGGCACGACACACTGAGGACTACGCTTGCGGCTCTTGGGTTTGCTCCTTCTACTGCTGACCCGTCGCTGTTTCTGCGCACCGACACTTCACTGCCGCCGTTCTACATCCTCGTGTACGTCGACGACTTGGTCTTTGCCACAGCGGACACTGCTGGACTCGCCTACGTGAAGTCCGAACTGCTGAAGAGACACACGTGCACAGACCTGGGTGAACTGCGCAGCTACATTGGCTTGCAGATCACTCGGGACAGAGCACGCCGCACCATTACCTTGACTCAGTCACACATGGTGCAGCAGGTCCTTCAGCGCTTCGGCTTCACGTACTCCTCGCCTCAGGCCACTCCTCTGCCTACTCGCCACTCACTCTCAGCTCTGCCTTCGGATGAGTCCGTAGAGTCGAGTGGTCCGTATGCAGAGCTTGTTGGCTGCCTCATGTACCTGATGACCTGCACACGACCTGACCTTGCATATCCTCTGAGCATTCTTGCACGCTATGTTGCTCCTGGGAGACACAGACCAGAGCACATGGCTGCAGCGAAGAGGGTATTGCGCTACCTGTGCAGTACGTCGGGCATGGGGCTTGTGCTTGGAGGGCGGAGTCCAGTGGTCCTTACCGGCCACGCGGACGCTTCTTGGGCTGACGACCAGACTACGCAGCGGTCGTCACAGGGTTACACCTTCAGCCTTGGTTCCGGCTCTGTCTCGTGGCGGTCTACTCGCTCGTCTTCGGTTCTCGGCTCCAGTTGTGAGGCTGAGATCTACGCCGGGGCCATGGCTGCACAGGAGCTTCGCTGGCTCACCTACCTGCTGACTGACCTTGGAGAGCCGCCTCGTTCTCCTCCAGTGCTGTACGTAGACAACAAGGCCATGCTGGCCTTGTGTCGAGAGCAGCGCTTGGAGCACAGAACGAAGCACATTGCTCTCCGCTACTTTCTTGCTCGTGAGCTGCAGCAGCGTGGTCAGTTGCGACTTGCGTACGTGGCCTCTGAGGCCAACACTGCTGATGTGTTCACCAAGGCACTCGCGCCTTGTGACCATCAGCGCTTTTGCACCCAGCTGGGTCTTGTGCCTGTCTTGCCTCACTTGCTCTCCTCTTGACTTCACTTGTACTGTGACATATATATATACCTGCTCTTGCTTGTCTAGTTTTATATATATGTCTGTACTCCTGCATGTGAACTGGCCTCTGGCCCTGCTCTTGTGCTCGGACTGTGTGGTGACTTTGTGATCCACCCTGAGCTTGCTTTGCTTTGCTTGACTGGTCTTGTGACCCCTTGTTCTCCCCCACTTTGCCTATGGGGGTGTGTCAAACATTATATATGTTATGCTTGTGTAGGCTACAGTGGGTTAGCCTATAGGGGGTACACAATTCTAGGGTTTCCTACTTGTACTCATTTCACTGCTAGTTTCATTCATTCCTGTTCGCTTATTCTCACACTTAGATGACTGGGGCTATGAATAACGCCTACTGCTCGAAGTTTAAACTCATTATGCGAATCTGAATCCATAGCGCCACTTCTACCGTACTCTCTTCAAGGATCTGGAACAGATTCTCGCTAAAATTTAATGATGCCCCACATAACCCTCGATCACAGATTTAGAAAGGGTGCATACCCCACTTGTGCAAGTGGGGTTGAAAATAGACCAAAAGAAAATAGCGGTGGTTAGGTGTACCCTATTGATATGCCAAGCAGCCCAATGGGGGCTTGCTCTGTCAAAAGCGAAAGCGAAGCTGTAACCAACACTCTCGCCACCGGCCCAGTTGACAACCCACGCGGGGCTCTTGGGGGGCGCTGGTGCGGACTAGCATCCCATGTTGGGATTTTGCCGACTATCGCAGCCAACAGAAACCCTCAGTTGGTGATTCACGAGCAAGCAAGGAGCCTGCACCTGCAGCATCAAGACACGCCGCTGAGCCTTGGAGCCACGTCAGGCCAAACGTGGCGCTCAACCGCATTCCCTTTGACGGACAAGGTTTGCACGGGTTTGAGGTAAACCTCGAACGTGTCTGAGCACTTTTTGCACAAATACCGCGCGCCATTCTGACTTTCACTTATCCACCCAAGCAGCCCACAACACACATCCAAAGACACCCAACTCTCCAACACGTCATTTTTTCCCCGACTAACCCAATATGTTCAGAAATATACCAGTTTCTCAGCTAGAGACGATGGCGCCCAAAGAAGTGGATCACTCTCCGTTAGAACGGATGTTCGACCTCGAGACCACTTTTGAGTCTCAAAAGTCTGCTTCTTCCGGGCGCATTTTCGACCTGGAAACCATGGCCATGTAGCTGTTGGCGTAGCGACACCTGCTGTGGTTCGGCAACAAGAGCGCGGCCAACTTGCACTGGCCTTGCGCAGCCGCGCCTCGACTCCCGTGCCTGCCGCGGCAGGTAACCCCGGAAGGGCCGCAAGCAGCGGACGGACGGGAGTCATGTGTAACGTAGTGAAGCAGAGGTACTACGTGCGGATCATATCTGCTCGCCGGCAGCAGGTTCGTCTGGGGTCGTACGAGGACAAGGACGAGGCAATCTTACGCGTATGCTACGGGGGCCGTTGTCCTTCGCCCTAACTCCCGCATCAGCTGCACGGTGCAGCTGTCCGACGGAGAGAGGCAGGCGCTAGCTGGCTGCACCGAGGAGAGTCTAAGGCTTCTCGTGAAGTACAGGCGCTGGAACAGATGGAGGGAGTGGAGAGCCGCCTTGGAGGGTCTGGATGATGCCCAGGCGCCCAAGGCCCGTTCGCCGCGAAAGGGCAGAGTCCCTCGGGTCATGCATGATGTTGAGGAGGTGGAGGCGACCACGCCCGCTACGGAGGACGAGCCTATGGCTCTTGAACCTGAGGACCCACCGGAGGATTACACAGATGACGAGGCGTCTGTTGACGATGATGCTGTGTATGAACTAGAGGGCGATGCCATGGAGGATGAGGATGACTGGGAGGAGGTCAACAAGGAGGACACTGCTGCATGAAGGGTTGAATAGGGAAGCCATTGGACCAAGAGATGTTTTGGATTAGTGTTGACCTTGTCAGGGCTGAGTACGGGTGCATGTTAGATTGGCGTGGTTTGGAAGTTGCTGAATGTAATAGGACACATGTAGTATATGGAAGCACAATTTGGGCAAGTGGCACTGCAGCAGTTTGTAATTGAATGCATGTTGTCAGACGCAGATGTCGCAAGTGTTGAAATGATGCTGTGGGTTTGTGGTGTATCACGTCTAACATAGACGAGGACGAGCACAGAGCGTCACGATTGTGCCACGACGACATTTTCCAGGTGCAAAGTGTGGCTGACATTAAAAGGTAATCCACATGGCCACTCCAACCGTGACATGCGTACATGTGTGCGCGTGGACAATACGTTGGGCCAAATTATGTGGCCTGCAAACCCACTAGCAGGCATCGCGATATCATCGAGGGCGGTGATGGGCCTGGTGCGATAGTGAGTAGAACCCCAAGCGGGTTTCCAACTACGCCATTTCGAGCCCGCTGTCAGAATGTTATGTTTGTCTAGCCTGCAGTGGGGTACTCAATAGTGAGTACAGCCCGACTTAGGGTTTCCTATATGTACTCAACTGCTTGCTAGTGAACCCCCTTCTTCTTCATTCTAAACTTTCTTCTACTCCTAAACTTAACATGCTATCAGAGCAGGTCGATCCCCTTGGGTCGATCCTGTGGGTGGGCTCACCACCTCACTGCTTCCGCTGCTACTGCTACTCTGTATGTCGCACGCCCCGTGGCGTGCGACGAATTTTTCTTCCTGCCGCGCGCTCGGAGCGTGCGGCGGTTTTCTGCCCGCCGTGCACCCCGAGGCGCGCGGCGACTTTCTGCCCCGCCACTCCGCGCGTCGCCCCCGGGAGGCGCTGCGACGGGCGACGGGGACCCGCGCGTCGCCCCCCGTCGCCCGTCGTGGCCGGCGCGACCTATGTAGGGCCCGCGCGTGGCCCGTATAGCCTGCGCGCGGCCCGTACGGGCAACGCCAGGCCCGCGCGCGGCCTGTACGGGCTGCGCCAGGCCAGAGCGCGCCTCGGGCCGCCCGCGCGCGGTTCGTACGGGCTGCGCCAGGCCCTTGGGCGCCCTGTTTCATCTTCCCCTGAGCTGCCCGCTGCCCCCCCGTGCTTCTGACGGCGCACCACCCCTGCTGCTGCCCGTTCTCCTGAATTAGGGTTTGGGGTGGGGGGTATGGGGGTGCAATTTCTCAGCGGCGTCCCCTGCTCCTCCTCCTCCTCCGTCTCCCGCTGCTGCAGCTGCCGCTCAGGGGGGTGGGTGTGTGGGAGCCGAAGGAGTGGTGCTAGGGGGGTGACGTGGGAGTGGAGCTAGGGGTGAAGCAGGGGGTGTGTGTCAGGGGGGTGGGACTGTTTGGGGAGGTTGAACGGAGGTTGCCGTCGTGTCGCCAGCAGCACCTGTAATCCGGGGAGTTGCTCCGGTAGCCCAGTCGCAGCCAGCTGTGCCAGTCGCCCGTGGGTCCGTTGCTCGTCTGCCGCTAGTTTTAGCCGCGGAGCCAGTTACTCCAGTAGTCCAAAGCGTTGTTCCGGTAGCCACTGTGCCAGTGTGACTCCTGTTGCCCGTGTGTCTGCAGCTTCAGCCGTCGCCTCCTATCTCCTCTCCTCTCACAGTCCCTCCTCCTCCTCACTTGCCCGCTGTGACTACCACTAGCTTTGCTCATAATTGTGAACTTTAAACTGTTGCTTCTTGTACTTGTGCTCATAATGTGTGGTGACATTGTGATCCACCCTGAGCTTGTTCTGCTTTGCTTGCTGTGCTGATTACACCCCACTTTGGCTATGGGGGTGTGTCAGAATGTTATGTTTGTCTAGCCTGCATTGGGGTACTCAATAGTGAGTACAGCCCAACTGAGGGTTTCCTATATGTACTCAACTGCTTGCTAGTGAACCCCCTTCTTCTTCATTCTAAACTTTCTTCTACTCCTAAACTTGACACCCGCGGTGTAGGTGGTCTTTGATTCTGTCTCCGCTGGAGGTCGAGATGAGTCCTGACCCAGAGGGCGGTCGTTCCAAGTGGAAGAAGAAAGCGCCGTCATGGTTGGCGGATGCATACCAATACCCAGAGAGGAAGAAGAAAGGGGGACGCGTACAGGAGCCCAAGTGGCGCAAGACCAGCACTGTAAAGAGTGGCAAGGAGGATAAGGAGGCGGAGCATAACGAAGGTAGCACTTGGGCTAAGTGACAATTATATTGCCTTTGATGTTGACATGATAATGGATGACACTGGTGAGTGAGGCCGTATGTGCACACAAACCTAACACCGTACTACATTCCACACCCACTGTCCCAGAGACTCAAGAACTGCCGCTGCAGATATGCAACGCCAATGTTGTCGGGGCCGTCGACGTGGAGACAGCCTCAACGCCCATTGTCGGGAGTGCACCCCCTGTGGAGGACGACACCGAGGCCGTGAAGGCACGCTTGATGGACGAGTAAATGGAAGGTGAAGAGGAGGGCGACGAGGACGGGCACGCTTGTGGTCAGTCGTCAAGCAACAACCCGTGTGGCGAAGACGGATCAGACGAAGAGCACGCCCTGAAAGTGCCATCTTCGAGGAAGCAGAAAGAAGCAACCGGTGGCCACATCACACGCGAGGAGTTTGAGGAGTTGCGTGAGTCACAGAAGGGTACCGCGAAGACAATGGCTCGTCTGGAGTCACACGTTTTAACCATCATTGCCCTTGGCGAGGGGCGCAAGCGCAAGCGGGCTTCTGTCAGAACATATAGCTTGTGCATATTGTGTAGGCTATAGTGGGGTAGCCTATAAGGGGTACAACCCAATAAGGGTTAGTACTTGTACTCAGTTCATTCATAGTTCATTCATTCTCGTTCTTACTTTCTCATGGTATCGAGCAGGTTCCCCCGTGGGAACTGTTCCTAGGGCCCACCGATCCTTTTTTTTTTCCTGCCTGGGGCGCGTCCTGCCCCTGCCCGAAGCGCGCCTACGGTCGTGCCCTTCTTAGCGGCCCCGTCGCGTCACCCTTAGCGGCCCGTCGCGTCGCCCTTAGCGGATCGTCGCGTCGCCCTCAGAGGCCCGTCGCGCCGCCCTTACGATCGCGTCGCGCCGCCCTAACGGCCGCATCGCGCTGCCCTAGCAGCCTCCCGCGGCCCCGATCAGCCGCCCTTGCAGCCCCAATCCGCCGCCCTTGCAGCGGCCCGTCACCGCCCTTGCAGCGGCCCGTCGCCGCCCTTGCAGCGGCCCGTCGCCGCCCTTCTTACGGCCCCGCCGCCCTCACCTGCGGCCCGCCGCCCTCAACTGCGGCCCCGCCGCCCTCAACTGCGGCCCCGCCGCCCTCAACTACGGCCTCGCCGCCCTCTGCTGCGGTCCCGCCGCCCTCGACTACGGCCCTGCCGCCCTTCCCTGCGGCCTCGCCGCTCTCACCTGCGGCCCGCCGCTCTCACCTGCGGCCCCGCCGCCCTCAACTACGGCCCCGCCGCTCACATCAGCGGCCCCGCTGCTCTCACCGGCGGCCCCGCCACTCTCACCTGCGGCCCCGCCGCGCTCATCTGCGGCCCCGTTCCCTGCTGCAGCGCCGCCCGCCACCAGAGCTGCCCCACCCGCCCCACCCAGCCGAGCAGCCGACCGCTGCGCCGCCCTGCAGCAACACCGCTGAGCCGCCCGGGCAACCGAGCAGCCGGACAACCGAGCCGCCGAGCCGCGCAGCAGCCGAGCAGCCGAGCCGCCTTGCAGCCGAGCCGCCCAGCAGTCGAGCCGCCCTGCAGCCGAGCCGCCGTACAGTCGAGCCGCGGGGCCGTCGAGCCGCGCAGCAGCCGAGCCGCCCAGCCGCCAAGTAGCCGAGCCGCCGAGCCGCCCTACTACCGAGCCGCCCAAGCTGCCCTGTCCGGTAAGCACAGTGCCTCTTTTACTGCACTGCCCTCACCCTACTGTTGCACTGCTTGTCTACTGTGGTCATGGCTACCCCTAGTGTCCTCGCTTTTGACGCTGAGGGTCGAGCCATTGACTTTGACGTCTGGGTAGATGACCTGCAGCTGTTTTTACAGTGCGATAGGGCAGACGGTCTCTCTCACTTTGACCTCACCTCTGGCGCCTCTCCTGCCCCTGCTGCTGATGCTAACGCCACTGTTCGCTCCCAGTGGACCACGCGCGACGCTGCTGCACGTCTTGCTGTGCGTCGCCACCTCCCTACCTCCGAGCGTGCGCACGTTAGTCAGTACAAGAGTGCTCAGACCTTGTACGACGCTGTAGTTACGCGCTACTCCTCCCCTGCCACTTCTGCACTGAGCCGTCTAATGCTACCGTACCTCTTCCCTGACCTTGCTGCCTTTCCCACAGTCGCTGACCTCATTACGCACCTCCGCACTAGTGACACTCGCTACCGCGCTGCGCTTCCTGCTGAATTCTGCGCCAAGAACCCCCCCCCCCATGTATATCACTCTCTACTACATAGTCACTCGCCTCCCTGACTCCCTTTGCGTAGTCAGGGACCACTTCCTCTCAGTCTGTCCCACCACTCTCACTGTTGACCTCCTCGAGAAGTCCCTCCTAATGGCCGAGAAGAGCATAGTCGCTGTAGGGGCCTCTCGTGGTGACCCGCGCACCCCCATCTTTGAGGGGTGTTCCCCCTCCCGCCTTTTGCCCTCTGTTGCCTCTGCTGCTGCGGCCGACCTCCTTGGTCTTGAGTCGGTCGGTGCGGCGTCTGCCCCTAGCGAGAGACGCCGCTCTGGCAAGGGCAAGGGGGGAAGGGGCACTGGAGGAGCGAGCGGGGGAGGTGGAGGTGGAGGTGGAGGCGGCGGGGGGAGTGGGGGTGGCGATGGGAGTAGAGGTGGGGGTGGAGGTGTCGGTGGCGGCAGTGGAGGCGGAGGCGGCGGCGGCGGTGACAGTGGGAGCGGAGGTGGCGGAGGTGGCGGCGGTGGAGGAGGCGGCAGAGGCGGTGGTAGTAGCGGAGGCGGCGGAGGCGGCGCAGGGGGCGGTGGTGCTGGTCGCGGGTCTACGCAGAGGAGTGGCTC